GCACGCAAGACCACTAACTGTCTTTTGATTTGTCACAGCTTGTCGTGCCAGAACGGTTGCCCCCCAAAATGCTTCATAACGAAACTATCAATCCATTTTCTATATCTTCATCCAATTAAGGGGGGGGGGGAGAGCCAGCACCTACTGTATTCTAGCAAACAAGGAGCAGAGGGCAGGGACAGGATGCCCTGCGCGACTATGCACAGACACTCCCACCCTGCTCAATTTATCCAGATGTCAATTAACCTTCCAGCATGTCTTTGATTGTGGGAGAAAACTGGAGGGAAATCCCTGCAAATCTGGGGAGGAAGACACTACTCCACAGGAGGCGAATCAGGTAGTGAAGGCAGGTGTGTCCGATTACTGTCCAGCAGGGGGAGCTAAGTGCACTGAGCTATTATACTACACACCCACTAATAATCAGCTTGTCTGAGCAGAGTCTTGAGGGGTGTGTTCTTTCTAAAATAACAGTGAGAAGCTTTAAACAACTTCAGTACTTTTATTTTGTGTTTTGTAAGTGTTAAAATTCTTTGGATTATGTAATTTTTTTTGTTATTATTTTATTTTTACTTGTGTTTTGAATAACAAAGAATTGACAGTGTTGGAACATTACTAGTAACTGGTGCTTATAAAGTATTTTTAAGCACCTAGAGGGTTTTGGTGAAATATTTTTTTTGTATTTTTAGAGAGTGATTCTGTGAGATCTGGTGAAATAATACCTGATTTCTCCATTCTGTGCTTGAAATTTCTCAAAACAATTATTTTTAATTGTAGAGAATTGGGAATTGTATTTGTTAACAGAAGATCAGAGAGAAGAGTTACTTTAGAATGTCAACAGAGACATTGCAGGGGAGTTGAAAGACTTCCTGAGCCTCACCTTTACACCCGGGGACACAGAGACATCGTCTAGATGGGAGGAGTGTGAATTCAGACTGCAGGGGGCCAGACAGACACTCCTAATGCCCTTGGCCTGCTTTAAAACTGCTTGTTTGTAGAGGATTTAAGATGATTCGAATTGCCCCAATTATTTTGTTACTTATTTTATTACATACTGTATTATTGATGTTACCAAACCAGCAAATAAGACAGTATAGTGTGCTCAGACACTTTCAATAAATGACTTATAGAAAAGTGTTAAATTAGTTTTATTTTAAAAACACATGACACATGTCTTAAGAATCATGACTTTTATAATCAATGGTATCACAACATTTGTCATTTTTGATGCCTATTTTTGAAGAGCCACATTTCCCAGAAGCCTATCAACCCATTGGTAAGTCTTTGGTTTGCAGGAAGACACTTGAGCTCCCAGACGAAAATCTCATGAACACGGTGAGAACATACAACTAGATAACACCCTAGGAATTAAATCCAGGGCCACTCTCCACCTTGCCAGGTTTGAGGTGCACACTGGGATCAGTAGGTATTTCATGCCCCTCAAACATCGTCTATTAAGAACCACGTAATACGAGACAGATTCTCAGACAGATATCCCCAAGGATATCAAGGAGTCACTTTCCCTGACTTCTTTCAAATCAAGGCTTTTATTTATCTGATTCTGCGTATGCCCCTTTGCTTTCCTACTGGATATGCATTTATACAGTAGGAAAGCCTTTTGTTTTCTTGCTGTTCTGTAAAGCGATTTGAGAAGAAACCTTTAAAGATGCTATTGTAAAAATAAAGTTTATTGTTGCGTTTTATCGTATCACAAGGTCTTTTTCTTCATCGATTGTTCGGAAAAACAGGAAGAGCTTCTCCCCTTCGTTGAAGGCCATGTCGCGGAAGGTGTAGATGTGCTCTCTGCTCTCCACTTTGTAAAAGGAGACCTGCCTCTCCTCGATGTCCAGAAACACCCCCAGCGTCCTGGGCAGCAGGCTGGGAGAGAGGGAGGTCAAGGGTTCGGTGAGAGCCGAGAGTCGAGCAGCTTCCCGAAACAGGGTCCAGTAACCCTCCTGGGGAAGGATGATGAAGGCGCCCTTCCTCTTGACCGACTCCCTGGCGACTCCTATGGTCCACAGCTTATTCACCTCCACCTCCCAGTAGTGTCGTCCCTTGGTGAAACCCTCCTGGCTCAGGACAGCAGACCAGCAGTCAAACCTCTCCGGGCTGTCAGAGACATCCCTGCTGTTTCCCCTGCGGACTCTCTTCCCATCCTCCGACAGCAGCAGCTCCCGTTGGGCGGTGTCGGGATTCAGGGTCAAGTCCTCTTTGGGGAAGAAAAGCAGAAAAAGTCCTGCACTGACACCATACCTACTGCTATAGCTGGGAGTAGGAAAGAAGCAGAAACCAACATTGTAGACTGTAACTGTGTCATACAGTCATACAGAGCAACAGCCCTCAGCCACTGGCTCTGGACATTCAAAGTTTATATCCGTCCAATGTCTAGCTGCTTCTTCATGTATAGGGTCGCAGGGAGAGACAGATCCTCTCCCAGCAAGACCAGGTACACCCTGGGCTGGATACAGGTCCATCGCAGGGGAATGCTCCAGACAAAACTCAGCACACCAGGGCCAGTTTGCCCCAGAAGCTGACTGACCCACCAGCATGTCTTTGGACTGTGGGAGGCTTCCTGAGCCCGGGGTCTGGAGGATCTCGCCCCGTCACCCTTGGACCTCCATGTCTTGTCTCTCCGTGTGTTCCCCCCTCCAGGGGATTTTAACCTTGCTGCGTCCCAGGATGGATTACTCGCTGATGGACTCTCGGACTATGCCCTGACCTGCCTTTGGACCCGTTTGGATTTGGATGCCGTTCTTTGTCTCACCCGGTCACTGTCTCACGGATTGTCACTATTATTTTGTGCACTATTACCATGCCTCCTGTTTTCACCAGCTCTTACCGCATCGCATAGAGTCTACTACAAGACCCGACACCGATCTCAGTCCGTGTTCGTGACAGTAGTGGGTTCGTGTTCCACATTGGGTGCAAGGTTCTCTAATAACCTACTGTATACTGGGCAGCAACAGTATGGAGCGGTGTTGGTGGCGGAGGGTCAAATACCTGTGACAACGGCAACAGCACTCGCACTATCTGCGCAGAAGGCAGGACTGGCAATCTACTTCTGTATCTTGCCATATAAACTCATGAAAACTCAACACTATGGATAGTGACAGTGGAACTGTCTGTAGGGTCACCATGAGTCGATACTGACGCGACGGCGCTCAACCACCACCACCCCTAAATTTTTTACCTTCTGTTAACATTCGATATGGATAACACAGGCTATGAAATCTAAATCTACTAAATCAGAAGTATTAATATATTTAGCAAAACTCTTCTTGCTTACCTGCTGCACTGCACAGCCACTCCCACTCTGAAACACAGACACAAAGGATGTATTAATACATACAGACGCTTAACACACTCCAACGCTTTTGCTTACAGGATGTACCTACCTGATTTACAGCACCGTCTCACTATATCTGGAAAGACAAGATGAAAAAGATTCCTCATTAGGCGATGCAATGATGCTTGATCTGATC